CCCCCCCCCCCCTCTCTTTTGCAGGCCCTCAGAATAAAGACTCCAGAGAAAGTTTGACTTACGATGGAGAAGAAAAAGAGGTGAGAGAGAAATCTTTTCAAACGCTCTTGATACGTGACTCATAATCTGTCAAACCTGTCACGCTGACTAGATGGATATATGTATATTTAGAAATTGGTGCTGTTTGGGTGAGAGGGAGAAAGATCATCTGTAATTGGAAGCAGGTTTTCATCTGTGAGGATTTGGGCGATCCTTCTTTCACCTGCTGTGCATGCTGGATGCAGAGAGCGTGGAGACGTAGGCACCCGTGTAGTGGTGTTGGTATTGATTTCCTTTGGTAGAGCTAATAAAGTAACCTTTTATCACAGCTCTTAACACCAGAGGCTGATTAATGGCCAGGGATGCAGTTTGGAGGTTGGTAGGGAGGATTGTTGGATGAGGCAGGAGAGCTGGAAATGGATAAAGACTGAATTGAGTTGGACGCCGATAGACTGAGATAAAAGAGGGCAGGTCGAATGATGTTATCTTCAGCTCCATGTGTGACTCTGGGGATGGGGTTGTCACGTGAATGGATGTTAGATAGATAGGTAGTCGAAACGGTTCACTACAGGATAGATTACAAGAGAGCAGAGAAGGCGGGCGAGGAAACGGTGAAGGTGGGAGTCATGTTTACAGAGAAGGAGGACTATAATACAGCCAGGGCCTGATCTAATGGTAGCAGCATGATGGTATTAAATCGAGACAAGAAAGTCATTACTAAGATTTATTGCCTAAAAGTGGTGCTGGGAGCTTTTTTAATATCATTTACAAAATCACCCAAAGGAAATCACACTCGTGCTCAAACCAACTCATCAGCTCTGTCAATAGTTCAGTGGAAAAAAATTATCTTGAGAAAGTCAGAGCCAAAACGATGCGTGATTAATCGGCTCAGAGTTGAATTCATTATGTTTTTGCTACGATAGTATTTTGTGCTCGGCCCCATCACTGGGGTTCCTTACCTTTTTATTTTTTATATTGCACCTCGTAGGCACGGAGTAGCAGAGACACAGGGAAATCGACTTCCAGTCTGGGCCTGGCCGACTTTGACCTGCTGCGGGTGATCGGCAGAGGTAGCTACGCCAAGGTGCTGCTGGTACAGCTGAAAAAGACTGAGCGCATCTATGCCATGAAGGTCGTCAAGAAGGAGCTGGTCAACGATGACGAGGTAAATCAGAAGAGGTGTAAAGACTGCTGATGCCTGACATGCTTACCAGACATATAAAATCACCTTTAATAAAGGAAAAGAAAGAAATCAAAGAAATCTGGATGAAATCTGATGAAATTTTTGTACTTGTGTATCAAGGGCGATCTATTATATTCTTTTTAAGATCCATATTTTTATTCTTTGGAGTCGCTAGAATAGCTTTGTATGATTCAGTTCAAAATATTTGGTTTATGCTATACGAGACTCCCTCAGATCATCCTTTGTCTCAAATTAACAGAACTGTACCGTAAATATGAGAAAAGGTGGGCAGAGTAAAATGGAGATGGCCCGTCAGAATCTAGTAATAGATCCATGTCCTGATCTAGACCGCAATCCACCTGTTGGTGAACTAGGATTTAGAGCATCTGAAGCCTGAGCTTTTGGCTCACACGATCTACTTACACATATGGTGAGCATGAGTTCATAATAAAGGCTTCTTAAAGTGTGTGGTTTCCACCAAAATGGGTGATTTTTGTTGTCCTACGCAGTGGTTTGAAACACATTTTTACACAACATCATGGAAAATGATTATTTGAACCAGTGTTTTTGCTCCTTTCTGTGTAGGCGTATGTAAAGAGGAGGCAGTAAGGCCGTTTTAACAGCTGCCGCTAATGATCTTTTGTTTTAGTTGCTCATTATTTTTTGTCTTTGGTTAACTGTTTACACAGTAAAATGTTTGAAAAACAAGAAATTGACAGCAAAGTTTCTTAATTTACTAAAGTGGGACCTTCAGTTTGTTTGTTTTGACTGTTCAGAAGTCCAAGATCCAGAGTGTTTCAGTTTTTAATGCTCACATGGAAGGATTTTCAAGCACAAAGTGGCTTTTTGTTCTTAATGGCCTTGAATGCCAGTAATTATCGAAATAGGTGCAATTATTTTCAGTCAAAACATCATTAATAATTGACTAATCACTTGAGATTTTAATGTTCTCTTACTGACTCTTTAATAGATAATCAACTGACTCGATATTTTACTGTTTTTGATTTATTCAGACCAGCAAACTCCAGAGGTCTAAAGCTGTATATCTGCGAGGATGGTGCCACTGTCACTAAAGTCCATACAGTGTGACAAGACGCCAGGACTCGCTCTGTGAGGTTAATTAATAATTAAGCAATCAGTCTCCTGTCAGTCTAATTAATATGACTAGAACAATCAATGGGAGCTGTTATTGCTAACACGCTGATTGGTGTCATGTGATCCAGCATCGCTCTTATGTATCCCTTAATACTCAGAGTTAGAAAGACTGGCGGCTTCGAAGAGATCTGTCAGCCTAAGAACGTGCAGATAAACCATCACGTCATGGAAAATTGATCTCCGTGAACACATGTAGCAGCACAGCCGGTGGCAGCGGGAGTAGTTAGACTTGATTAGGCGCACTTAGCGTGATTGACAGATTGACAAGTGCTTCTCGATCAATGGCAAAGTGATGTGCCGTCCCTGCCCTGTCAGCGTGAGCAGCATCCGTGTCCAGACATATTATCATCCAGCTACCGATAGAGGCCAGCCCCCGCTTCTACTGGCTCAGCCGTTTACCCCCACCGCTGTCCACCTTACACACAAGTAACTCTCAGGGATTACTCGCTTTGTAGGATGGTCGATGGAGCCCTGTGCTTATTCAGCTTTTAGTTAGCTCAAGGGCACTATGTCACAAACATCCCTTGATTGACATTTGGGTGTTTCTTTGTGTGTTTTTGTTCCAGGACATCGACTGGGTTCAAACAGAAAAGCATGTCTTCGAGCAGGCCTCTAATCATCCCTTCCTGGTCGGCCTTCACTCCTGTTTCCAGACAGAAAGCAGGTGAGCTTTGCTATTGCACGAGTCGTGATTATTATTAATATAATTATTTATTTATTTCACTAGGCTTTGGAAAAATCCTCTGTATATAAGAGCTACACCAATTTACAGGTCTAAGGAGGGACTGCTGCCTGAATCAGGTTATTCTGGTCATTTATTCAGATTTTTAAGTTACAGTTTTTCTTTCTTCTGATTATCAAACAAAGTGATTGAGAAAGCAGTCAGTGGGATATAAATCCAGAGCATACCATGCCTTAAATTTTACCGTCCCAAATGAAATGAATCTAAAGACACAGATTTCTTGCTACAGTTACATATTTCTAAATTTTCTAAATAAAGCTTCACAAATGCATTGCATGGCTTCTCGCAGAATTGTACTGTGCTTGTGGCAGTATTGGAGTCAGGGTGCAAAAAGAGGGACACCACACTTTCTTAAATACATTAATAAATATCAATAAATATCCCCATAAGAGTTGGACAATCAGCTGTCTTTCAACTGAGTCCCTCATCATCACGACAAACATGGTGAACCAGCCATAATGGACGGCTGCAGGTTCTAGTTTTCTGCAGGACTTCTGTCACCAGCAGTATTACACCACGATGGCGTTAGAATTTCTGAAGATTAGGCTTTTTGGGGATTGGTATGAACATAACCTGATCAATTTAGGGATGCACAAGAGGGAAGGGCTGGGGCTACCTGGTTGGCTGAAGGGGATTGTTCACTAGTAAATAATTTGCACCCTTGTTAATACACCTGGACAACACTCACCCTAGAAAAGTAAAGTTACAGTCAGTGAGTAACTATGTTGGAGTAAATACATAAATGCATCCCTGTGCCTGCATACGTTTCCTCCTGCAGCCCAAAGACAAGCATGTTAGGTGAACTGGTGATTCTACAGTGGCTGCAGGATGTGAGCTAGCTCAAAGTGCTGTGTGAATGAGTGATTGGTCCTGGGGTTCAAGACTTGGCTTGTCTTCTACAAGTATAAAGTTGGTGGTTCCTACTAGAGATGGCACGATACCACTTTTTTATGTCCGATACCGATACCATAAATTGGGATATCTGACTATACCGATATGAATCCATTATAGTGTTTTGTTTTAATCAATAAAACTGTTTTTTTAATATCTTGCTGCATTTTGTATAAGTTCATACTCAAGTTTTAAAAAAACAAAAACACTAAAGCTATTCTGTTATACCTGTATGTAAAAAATACACTGCACCCAAAATATTTCATAATTCAGCAATACTGATCAATCTAAAAAACTTAAACCTACTCCATCCTCCTTATTTTGGTATTTTAAAAAGTACTTAGCGTAAATACTAAGCAACCTAACTAATAGGGTTCCAACTCCCAGCAACCAAAAAAAAAAAAAAAGGAAACCACCCCTCACGCTCCACCTTATGATGCTTAATCGATGTAATCAACCTTAATTTGATGCAATGTGGAAAAAAATGCACAGAAATAAATTATTTTTCAAGAAATATTAAATGGATTCAACATCTTTCTTCAACA